CTATGCTCTTTACAACAACAACTCTTCGACATTCGACACTCGCTGAGATGAAGTGAATAATTCGACTGTCTTTATCAAATTTCGAGAAGGACAAATTTCTCAAAAACATCTAATTTTACACGACAATTTCTGCGCGGAACAGATCTCCAAGTTCATCTTTACCTTACCATACAATATTCATTAAGGACACACGGCCAAGGTTACTAATATCCACATTCAATTTCTCCTTTAAAATATACCTTACAAACGATGATAATGCTCTGTCAAACAATAAGTTTCCAACTCTACAATAGAGCAATCGCAAACGAGAAGCATACAGATATTAATACCACCTCCACCAATACACAGCCATGAGATCATGAAAACTTACTGCTGGAAATTGTTTGAAAATATTATGAATGCCAGAACGACAAAACTGCAATAATTAAAAATGCAATAAGTTAGTGATAATTAGAACATTTGTGTGCTTATAAATAATAATGATCTCCACCACTAACAATTCAGATTCCAAATCAAAATTTTCAATTACACAATGCATCTCCAAAGGCTTTCAAAAGAAATTTCAAAGCATCCAAGAAAATTGACAAAAATTCGAAAATCACCTCCTACTACTATACTATTAGTCAAAACTAAACAATTTCAAAGCAGCCATACCATCTCGCTAGTGATGTTATCGAGTTATATTGATATGGTCATATTAACAGATTGCATTTCAAACGTATTCGATTCGATTCGAAGTCAACACATCCGACAGCGTAATCGAATGGAAAATTCTTGAGAAACGCTCGATACAATCCGCCTTCGGTATCACGTATTCCAATCGTTCTTTCGGAGCATCTCAAATTCATTACGTATCAGAGAAATTGAGATCACAAGAAACTTAACGAGAGACTTTAAAGAAAATACGAACGCATCCAAAAGCTGAATCCAAACAAAACGAACCAGTATCGAAAGGTGATCTCAGTTTCAGGGGTGTGACCATCTCTCGACACACCTCAATACAGCCACACTTCTCGAATATCTCCAGCAACTTCACCAACATACGCGGTTGCAGCGCAAACGAAAAACTGCTCTTCAGATCGCTCACATTCACTCCGGGACGATTCACTATTGCGAACAGAATTCCCTCCATCATCCAACTGAAATCCATCATTATGACGACTGTTATTCCAAGTTATCCACTTATTACAAACTTCTCAAAATGTTTTCCTAATCACTATTACTATGATTAATCGCTACATTACTATCGCTATCACTATTACTATTATTTACTATACTTACTATTTACTATATTTACTATCACTATATATTAATTATTACTTGG